TAGGGGAGAAAGGATGGGGACACAGTAGGGGAGAAAGGATGGGGGCACAGTAGGGGGGAAAGGATGGGGACACATTAGGGGAGAAAGGATGGGGACACAGTAGGGGGAAAGGATGGGGACACAGTAGGGGGGAAAGGATGGGGACACATTAGGGGAGAAAGAATGGGGACACATTAGGGGAGAAAGGATGGGGACATTAGGGGAAAAAGGTTTGAAACACAGTAGGAGGGGTATATATAATGATGTAGACCACCAGATAGGGAGGGGTATATAATGATATAGACCAGTTGGGAAGAGTAATGAATGCACATGAAAAACATGCACACTGTTCATGCATTTCAACAGAACAGAATACATACATAAATATTGTATATTAGTTTTAAGATTATATATATAACTGGTGCTTTTATATAAATTAAGTTAGAGATGGAAAATCACAGCAGCACATCATTTCCTATTTCATAAAACCATTTCAGTCTTATTTTCATAGAATTATTAATCAATTAGAGTGGGGAAGTATCTAAACCTAAATTAATTGTATCAATGATATTTTTTGTAAATGCCAATGGTTAATTTGACAATGAACAGAATATTGCTTCAATTTATTGCTATATTTTTTTTACTGATTTAACTAACCATAAGAAGGTTATTCTGTATTTAAAAAGAAAGTAGTATTTTGAAATCAACACTGGAAAGACATACATTTGTAATCAAGAAAAGCACCAGGGAAACCTTTGCCATCCTACTTACAAACCTGTAAAATGACCAGGATAAGAACCACTATTCTTTCTACAAAACTGTCCAAAACGACCAGGATAAGAACCACTTTTCTTTTTACAAACCAGTCCAAAACGACCAGGATAAGAACCACTATTCTTTTTACAAAACTGTCCAAAACGACCAGGATAAGAACCACTCTTTTTTCTACAAACCTGTAAAAGGACCAGGACAAGAACCACTATTCTTTCTATAAACCAGTCCAAAATTACCAGGATAAGAACCACTATTCTTTTTACAAACCAGTCCAAAAGGACCAGGATAAGAACCATATTTTTTTTCTACAAACCCTTAAAAGTACCAGGATAAGAACTGCTATACATTGTACAAACCAGTCCAAAAGGACCAAGATAAGAACCACTATTCTTTCTACAAACCAGTCCAAAAGTACCAGGATAAGAACCACTATTCCTTTTACAAACCAGTCCAAAAGGACCAGGATAAGAACCACTATTTTTTCTACAAACATGTAAAAGGACCAGGACAAGAACCACTATTCTTTCTATAAACCAGTCCAAAAGTACCAGGATAAGAACCACTATTCCTTTTACAAACCAGTCCAAAAGGACCAGGATAAGAACCACTATTTTTCTACAAACCTGTAAAAGTACCAGGATAGGAACCGCTATTCTTTGTACAAACCAGTCCAAAAGGACCAGGATAAGAACCTCTATTCTCTCTATAAACCAGTCCAAAAGGACCAGGATAAGTACCACTATTCTCTCTATAAACCAGTCCAAAAGGACCAGGATAAGTACCACTATTCTTTCTACAAACCAGTTCAACAGGAACAGGATAAGTACCACTATACTATCTACAAACCTCAGAAAAGGTCACACCATACTACCTACAAACAAGCCCAAAAGGGCCAGGATAAGAACCACCTTCCTATCTTCAACCTTATCCAAATAAGACCAAGACAAAAACCACCATCCTACCCAAACAACCTGGCCAAAAGTCAAGGATTGTATCAATTTTCATATTCTTAATTAAATATATATTGATCTAGCATGAAACTTTTTGGACAGACCAAAAGAATGTATACCAATTTCCCCTTCTGTTATCCTAGACCAGTTGTTTTCAGATAAAGTCTGTGTATACAACTAATAACTGTACTCAAGGGGCTAAAAGAGATAAAATCACTGCAGCCAAACTTTGTTATAGACCTTGATGTTCATGAAATATTACATTCTTGCCAGAGAACAAGGTATGGTTTTGTTCTGAGTTCCCAAAACATGTGTTCCAAATAATACTGTGTATCTATTTTTTTCCCCTGAGGTCTACAACTGTTGCTCTCTGAATACATTTCTATCATAAACACCTGTATTAGTGTACTCGTGTTTAAAGTCCTATTGGTCTACAGTTATGACAACCTATTTCCCAGTCCCCATTGCTGAGCACCATGTTTGTTTTTGTCTTCCCTTACTTATTCCATCACAAGTGCCCCCAGACACACAAATGAGCGGGCCCCTGTGACAAACAAGAGGCCCAATAGAATACAGACAAAATATCTGTGTTCGATCCATTTGAATCTATCAAATGATTTAACATATGACGCCTGTGACCTTGAAAGTTTATAGTCTTCCGTCCCGGCATATTTTTGGCTAAATATCATTACCCTGGACCTTTTGAATTTTCAGAACAAGTCATTTAAAGATTTAAACATATTTGATCCCTGTGACCTTGAATATGAGCAAAGGTCATTCATTTGAACAAACTTGGTAGCCCTTCATCTCAGCATGTTAATGGCCAAATATCATCATCCAAGGCCTTTTGGTTATTGAGAAGAAGTTGTTTAAAGTTTTTAACATATTTGACCCCTGTGACCTTGAAAATAGATGAAGGTAATTTATTTGAACAAACTTGGTAGCCCTCTATTACAGCATGCTACTGGTCAAATAGCATCATCCTAGGCCTCTTGGTTATTGAGAAGTTGTTTAAAGGTTTTAAACATCTTGACCCCTGTGACCTTGAATATAGGTAAAGGTCATTCATTTTAACTAAACTTAGTAGCCCTTTATCATAGCATGTTACTGCCTAAATATCATTATCCTAGGCCTCTAAGTGATTCAGAAGAAGTTGTTTAAAGATTTTTTAAGACAATTGACCGCTGTGACCTTGAAAATGGGTGAAGGTCATTTATTTGAACAGACTTGGTAGCCCTTCATCCCAGCACGCAACTGGCCAAATATCATCACCCTGGGAATTTTGGTTATTCAGAAGAAGTTGTTTAAAATAGATGAAGGTCATTTATTTGAACAAACTTGGTAGCCCTTCATCCCAGTTTGCTGCTGGTCAAATATCATCACCCTAGGCCTTTCGGTTATTAAGAAGAAGTCGTTTAAAGTAAAATAATGACGCCGGACGGACGGATGGACGACGAACGCCGCACCACGGCATTAGCTCACTTTGCACTTTGTGCCAGGTGAGCTAATAACATGGTGGATGGAACAGTGATCAATGTACAGATGACAACCAANTAAACTTAGTAGCCCTTTATCATAGCATGTTACTGCCTAAATATCATTATCCTAGGCCTCTAAGTGATTCAGAAGAAGTTGTTTAAAGATTTTTTAAGACAATTGACCGCTGTGACCTTGAAAATGGGTGAAGGTCATTTATTTGAACAGACTTGGTAGCCCTTCATCCCAGCACGCAACTGGCCAAATATCATCACCCTGGGAATTTTGGTTATTCAGAAGAAGTTGTTTAAAATAGATGAAGGTCATTTATTTGAACAAACTTGGTAGCCCTTCATCCCAGTTTGCTGCTGGTCAAATATCATCACCCTAGGCCTTTCGGTTATTAAGAAGAAGTCGTTTAAAGTAAAATAATGACGCCGGACGGACGGATGGACGACGAACGCCGCACCACGGCATTAGCTCACTTTGCACTTTGTGCCAGGTGAGCTAATAACATGGTGGATGGAACAGTGATCAATGTACAGATGACAACCAAGCTGTCGTTTCTATGAACTTGAATTTAGTTATTCTAGCTCCAAAAGAAATATCAGTGTGATCCTTTCACCGCTTTGACAGTAAACAATATTACCGACCCCACAACAAACTGATTCAACAGTAAACAATATTCACCAACCCCTCCACAAATTGATTCGACAGTAAACAATATCAACCGACCCAACAACAGACTGATTCTACAGCAAACACTATTCACCAACCCCTCCACAAACTGATTCGACAGTAAACACTATTCACCAACCCCTCCACAAACTGATTCAACAGTAAACAATATTCACCAATCCCTCAACAAACTGATTCGACAGTAAACAATATCAACCGACCCCACAACAGACTGATTCGACAGTAAACAATATTCACTAACCCCACAACAAACTGATTCAACAGTAAACAATATCCACCGACCCCACAACAAACTGATTTGACAGTAAACAATATTCACCGACCACACAAGGAACCCTCACCTTTGATGTCCTGTTTCTCCTTCTCCATGCGAATGAGTAGGAGGGTCTGAAGGATGGCCTTTTTCCACAGGGAGCGGATCTCCTGCTGACTTAGATGAGGCTTTTCCTCCTCCTCCTCCTCTTCTTCCTCTTTTACTGTAACCTCCTCCTGTTTCTCTGTAACAAGTCAAGGTATATATACATACCTCAAGTCTCTCCATCAACAACAGTCACANCTATATATACAAACCTCAAGTCTATCCATCAACAACAGTCACAGGTATATATACATACCTCAAGTCTCTCTATCAACAACAGTCACAGGTATATATACCCACCTCAAGTCTCTCCATCAACAACAGTTACAGCTATATATACAAACCTCAAGTCTATCCATCAACAACAGTCACAGGTATATACACACACCTCAAGTCTCTCCATCAACAACAGTCACATGTATATATATATACCTCAAGTCTCTCCTTCAACAACAGTCACAGGTATATATACACAACTCAAGTCTCTCCATCAACAACAGTCACATCTATATATACAAACCTCAAGTCTATCCATCAACAACAGTCACAGGTATATATACAAACCTCAAGTCTATCCATCAACGACAGTCACAGGTATATATATATACCTCAAGCCTCTCCATCAACAACAGTCACAGCTATATATAAAAACCCCAAGTCTATCCATCAACAACAGTCACAGGTATATAAATATACCTCAAGTCTCTCCATCAACAAAAGTCACAGGTATATATACATACCTCAAGCCTCTCTATCAACAACAGTCACAGGTATATATACCCACCTCAAGTCTCTCCATCAACAACAGCCACAGGTATATATATATACCTCAAGTCTCCCCATCAACAACAGTCACAGGTATATATAAATACCACAAGTCTCTCCATCAACAACAGTCACATGTATATATATATACCTCAAGTCTCTCCCTCAACAACAGTTCCAGATATATACATACCACAAGCCACTCCATCAACAACAGTCACAGGCATATATACATACCTCAAGTCTCTCCATAAACAACAGTCACAGGTATATATATATACCTCAAGGCTCTCCATCAACAACAGTCACAGGTATATGTACATACCTCAAGTCTCTCCATCAACAAAAGTCACAGGTATATATACACACCTCAAGTCTCTCCACCAACAACAGTCCCAGATATATACATCCCTCAAGCCACTCCATCAACAACAGTCACAGGCATATATACATACCTCAAGTCTCTCCATAAACAACAGTCACAGGTATATATATATACCTCAAGGCTCTCCATCAACAACAGTCACAGGTATATGTACATACCTCAAGTCTCTCCATCAACAACAGGCACAGGTATATATACATACCTCAAGTCTCTCTATCAACAACAGTCACAGGTATATATATACCTCAAGTCTCTCCATCAACAACAGGCACAGGTATATATACATACCTCAAGTCTCTCTATCAACAACAGTCACAGGTATATATATACACCTCAAGTCTCTCCATCAACAACAGTTCCAGATATAAACATCCCTCAAGCCACTCCATCAACAACAGTCACAGGTATATAAATATACCTCAAGTCTCTCCATCAACAAAAGTCACAGGTATATATACATACCTCAAATCTCTTCAACAACAACAGTCACAGGTATATATATATACCTCAAGGCTCTCCATCAACAACAGTCACAGGTATATGTACATACCTCAAGTCTCTCCATCAACAACATTCACAGGTATATATATATACCTCAAGTCCCTCCATCAACAACAGTCACAGCTATATATACAAACCTCAAGTCTATCCATCAATAACAGTCACAGGTATATATACATACCTCAAATCTCTCCATCAACAACAGTCACAGGTATATGTACATACCTCAAGTCTCTCCATCAACAGCAGTCACAGGTATAGATACATACCTCAAGTCTCTCCATCAACAAAAGTCACAGGTATATATACACACCTCAAGTCTATCCATCAACAACAGTCACAGGAATATATACATACCTCAAGTCTCTCCATCAACGACAGTCACAGGTATATATACATACCTCAAGGCTCTCCATCAACAACAGTCACAGGTATATGTACATACCTCAAGTCTCTCCATCAACAGCAGTCACAGGTATAGATACATACCTCAAGTCTCTCCATCAACAACATTCACAGGTATATATATATACCTCAAGTCCCTCCATCAACAACAGTCACAGCTATATATACAAACCTCAAGTCTATCCATCAACGACAGTCACAGGTATATATATATACCTCAAGTCCCTCCATCAACAACAGTCACAGCTATATATAAAAACCCCAAGTCTATCCATCAACAACAGTCACAGGTCTATATATATACCTCAAGTCTCTCCATCAACAAAAGTCACAGGTATATATACATACCTCAAGTCTCTCCGTCAACAACAGTTCCAGATATATACATACCTCAAGCCACTCCATCAACAACAGTCACAGGCATATATACATACCTCAAGTCTCTCCATAAACAACAGTCACAGGTATATATATATACCTCAAGCCTCTCCATCAACAACAGTCACAGGTATATGTACATACCTCAAGTCTCTCCATCAACAGCAGTCACAGGTATAGATACATACCTCAAGTCTCTCCATCAACGACAGTCACAGGTATATATACATACCTCAAGCCTCTCTATCAACAACAGTCACAGGTATATATATATTCCTCAAGTCTCTCCATCAACAACAGTCACAGGTATATATACACACCTCAAGTCTCTCCACCAACAACATGTATGCCTCTCAACAATCATACAGGTTATACGATAATCATACCTGTCTGTCAACGGTCATACAGATTATACAATAAACATACCTGGCCCCTTCTATGTATAATAGTCATACATAAGGTGCATATTCCTCCATAATTCTCTATAATAAAATGGATATTTCACAAGGAATACACATCCTGCACATCTGGTATAAACTGACACAATGTCTAAGCCTGGATTACACATACCCAACATGTCTCGGGTAATACACACATTTACCAAATATTTCACATGCCTTTCTTATGTGGCAGGTTTTGACTGTACATAGGATTAGGCAACCTAATCAATGCACATTTTTTACACTAATTTTTTTACATTGAAATTCACATCAAGATTCAATTCACAGGTAGGTGTGTTCCCACTCAGGTATTCCTACCATCCCTAGTGCAAGTGTGCAATTATGGTAAATAAACATAATATTTTGATTATCTTAAATGTCCTATGACATGCCAATCAGACTAGAGAATCTGATGACAGAAAGTCATTAAATATTCATAGATCTCATTTATCTTGCAAACTTCCCACATTTTTGTAGTAACCCAGCAAAGCTATCCACCAAGTGGTGTTAAAGTCATAAATATTCATGAGAGACTGGTTACAATCAGCCAATCAGAATAGAGGAAGTCCATTACTAATTGAACATTCATAAATCATGTCTTTCTCCAGAACTAGTCCGTCAAAGTAATTTCATCAACAGCGGATAATAGCAAGGAACGTATAATTTGGAAACTATCACAACATGTACCATGAAAATATTACACATTATATTTTTTTAAAAATATGATGAGGACAATATTTGCTACTTCAATTCACATAAAATTTTCATGAACTACATGTATATGCAATTTGTATTGCTAGAACTTCTCTCCTCTCTCCGTGTATCAATAACTATCAAGTTTTGAGAACATTTACTCCACACGATCTACTAAGGTGGTGTGTGGTACAGGCAGTGTATAGGATTTACTGGATGACAGGACGTACAGCTGTGCACAGGCAACATGTAATGGATCAATAATTATTAATATCTCGCAAATCTACAAAAAAATGTAGACGCAAATTCATAATATATTCATGTGTGGATTTATTTGCATATTGCCTGATATTTATCCCATTGTTGTCCACTACTCATTACAGTGACAGTGGTGTTTTGTTAGTTAGATAATCCCATTGTTGTCCACTACTCATTACAGTGACAGTGGTGTTTTGTTAGTCAGGTCATCCCTTTGTTGTCCACTACTCATTACAGTGACAGTGGTGTTTTGTTAGTCTGGTCATTCCTTTGTTGTCCACTACTCATTACAGTGACAGTGGTGTTTTGTTAGT